GGTGTTTTCTGAGCCCAGAATTGACTGCTTGATGTCCTGTGTTCTGTTACTATTGAACAGAATGTTTTCACAAACCTTTCCCAGCTGAGGTGGTGTAGAGTGTGAACTGTAAGTAGATCTGTACTCTACGGAACCACAAAATGTTCAGGATGGTATCACCAAACATCACTGACTGTGTCTTATTTCTTGTTATTTATTATCAACACCCTAGACATCCTAAGGGAGATACATAGGTTTGATAAGTCAATGAACAAATGAGGCAATGAGCTAGGAGTTTGAAGTGTTGTCTGTTGCCCCAGACCTTGAACACATTAGCCTTTCTATATCTTCATTTTCCTCATTAACAAAGCATGGGTGATAGCATTTAACCTATATGGTGTCTGTGCAATTATTTCCACGAGAGGATGTAAAGTGGAGTAATGTTTCAAATATAAGAATTGATGTTGATGAGCTGGAGAGATGACTTAGTGGTTAAGAGCACTGGCTGCTCTTCCAGACATCCTAAGTTCAATTCCCAGCAACCACATGATGGCTTGCAAACATCTGTAATGAGATCTGGTCCCCTCTCCTGGCATGTAGGCATACATGCAGACAGAGCACTCATATAAATAAATAAATCTTAAAAAAAAAAGCTAACAGATATACAGATTCAGCCAATGTCTAGAGCAAGCAGAAAACCAGCATAAAGCCAAGGTAGTCTGGATGTTTGATAATTCACAACAATCCTTCATTAAACCCTATATCATATTGTGTTTATTTAGATTTATTACAAATGACTTAATAATGATGAGGTAATAATAATGATAGTAATCTTATTCATCATTACCATCCAGCTCAGAGACTCATGAAAAAAAAAAAGAGTTTCCCCCCCCCCAGTGGACTCGGCATTTTATTTTATTATTTTTTATTATTTTTTTTTTATTTTTAAGTTTAAATTTAGATTAGAAACATGTTTGGTTCACAAGTCAGTTCCAGGTCCCGAGTTTTTTTTTTTTCTAATTAGTATATTTGAAAAGTCTAGAACAGTGGTTCTCAACCTGTGGGTTGTGACCCCTTCGGGGGTTGCATATCGCTATCCTGCACACCAATATTTTACATTACAATTCATAACACCAGAAAAATTACAGTTATAAAGTAGCAATGGAATCATTTTATGGCTGAGGGTCACAGCATTCGGAACATTGAGAACCACTGGTCTTCAAGGATGAGGCGTCAGGTATGACTGAATCTGATCATTTAAAGGATGAGGCTTCAGGTATGACTGAATCTGATCATTTCAAGGCCACCATCAACACTGCTCTCCAACCTTACCTCTTTTTCTTTCATTTCTAGGCTTGATTTTCCTTTGTGTTGTCTCTATTCACAAGCAAGTTTCTTAGACCACAGAGCAAAATGGTTGCTAGGCATTTTGGACTTAGGTGTAACTTAGAGACTTTTTTTTAAAAATTATGCCTCTGAAAGTTTAGTGAATCAATATAATTGGCTCTCATGGGCTACTGAGGCCATTGTTTGATTGTCTCCCACCTTGTGGGGACACCACCTCTTGGCACTAGCTTTGGATTCAGCCCAATAGATCCCAAGTGGATTAAGACAGAGACGAAATAGATCTGAAAAGAAAACAGGGTACACTCTTCAGAAGAAGAGCTGATATTGGTACTAAAGAAATAAATGTTTTGGAGGTATCTGTGATGGGAAGAAGCTTAAATGATTATTATTGACAAGATATGACTATCAACAATGTACACAAGGAGTATGTCAGTAAAAATGTCATTATTTTGACATGGAGACATTAGAGAGATCAGGGTCTTAAAGAAAATATTACTCGGAGTTTTAATAGCAGTTCCACTGGAAATACTTCTTGAAGAAGTATTAGATAAATATTTGTTCAGTTTGGTTTAAAAGTTTATCTGTCTAAGACTATTAAAGGAAGCTCCCAGGACATAGTATACATTGCTTCACCATTTACCAGTCTAACCATAATAATCTCATAAATGGAACTTGAGTGACAAACAATATGGACCCGGTTTTCATTTTGAGAGAGACTTTCATGATGCTAGCTGATTTCTTTATCTACTCAAAATTTATGGAGATCTAGGTACAAAGCTGTGTGTGTTCTAGAGAAAATAATTCAGTCCTGGTCATGCTGTATTAGTGCATTTTCCCAATTTAAAAAACAACATAATGTGCATGATGTCAGTTGAAGGCTTCACTGTTGAAGGTATGTGGGAAGTTGCTCAATCTCATTAGTAACAGAGAACAATCACTGAAATAAAATTTCTTTTCAACTCACCAAATTGACAAAAGTTGTTTTTTTGTAGTATCAAGAAAGAATTATGTAGTCACCATAGAAGGGGACTTCAAAATCAGCTGAAATGTAAAATATACCCAATAGCATCATGTGCTCATGATGATGTTTATTCTAAGGAAAAAGTCTTACGCATATCAGAGTTCATCAAGAGAAGAAAAGTCAAACTGGCTACAAACATGCACATTTAGAAATGTTAGATAGTCAGAAAAAAAACCGTATATGAAGATATGTATAGGTGAATGCATGCTGATATTTTGAGAGTAGAACATGCCCTAATTTAACATCAACACATGTGTAATTGTATTAATTTAAAATATGCTTGTAAATATATAGAAATAATTCAACCCGAGAGAGTGATATTTTCCCCCTGGAAAGGATGTGGGGAATTAAGTGGCTGACAGGACGGAGGTAGGCAGCTTGGTAATTAACTACATTGCTTGATAGTGTTCACAATAATATTCCCATCTATTACTTGCTTAATTAAAATCCAATTGTTATTTAAATTAGAATTATTCATATAGCTATGAGTATAATATATTGAATTCCGACAATAATTTATTATTAAATCTAACTATACAATGGACTTTATTTTAATATGATTTTGTTCTCTATACATGTATTTAGTTAAACACGAAATGAATTTTCTGATTGTAAGACTACTTAAGAATAACAACATGAAATAGGATTGAAACATTTGTATTTTCTAACATACGAGCCCACACAACTACTTAAATTTAGATTAACAAAAAAATACTTTTTGTTGCACATGTCACATTGAAGAGCTCACATGTGACTATGGCCTGTGATGTTAGACTTACACATTACACAGAGACTGTCCATCATCACAGACAGGGCACTGGGCAGTGTTGGTCAAAGCTACTCATTTTTCAGATTCCTTCCTGTCTTTTGAAACTGTGACTTGCTCTTGAAAGGAGAAAAACCTATATATTTCCATCTGTCAACATCTGACACATCTCAACTGTCATCGGTCAGCGTTTGACACATCTGAGCTTGAGGGATGCCAAAGTGAAATTTCCCCAAGCCTTGAAGAATGTAGTATTTGGAAACCTTCAGATCTCTAGTGTTGAGTCAAATCTTTTTGAAAGTTGTCCTAGATTCCTATCTGACAGAACTCTGAAGTACAAGTTGTGAGAGAGGAGACTTCATGTTGAATCCCACTCTGCACTGGGAGAGAGTTAGCCAACTTTTCTGAAACTTTCTAGAGTTAGAAACCAGCATGCTCCCTGTACACGGGTCTTGCTGTCTTTGCTCCTGTGGCTTACAACTGTGAATACAGGACTCCCGATGACTTGGTTCACTGTGTGCTTTCACACTGACACTGGAAGGTCTGTGAATTCTATTATGCATGATCTAGGACACTGTGTTTTCTGGGTTGCCATTCTCTTGGACTCAGAGTAAAGATGCCTAGGCTAATGTTTCCAGCTCCAGGGGGTTTGCAGTGTAATGAGTATAACGGTGTCAGGTATGAGCTTATCAAGCAAACAGAGCTGGCAGTGGTGGCCCACGCCTTTGATCCCAGCACTGGGGGGGGAGGGGGGGGGTGGGGAGGAAGAGGGGGAGAAGCAGAGGCAGGTGATCTCAGTGAGTTCGAGGTCAGCCTGATCTATAGAATGAGTTCCAGGACAGCCAGGACTGTTATACAGAGAAACCCCGTCTCAAAAACCAAAAAGAAAAAGAAAAAAGAAACCCGAGACAGCTTCATACTGGCAGAGCAACAGATCCAACACAACGAAGACACGTACACACCGCTGTGAAGACAGGAAATGGCCTGTGTGTATGGTTTTCAGAAAAGCCACGCCCAGAGGTCTTGGTGATTTTAAGCAATCAAAGGTTTCTAGAAAACATCATTCTGAATCACCTCTTTGCCCACGTGCGCATGCCTGCCTAGAATTAGGATTTTGAAGCAGAACTTCTCCTTTCCTTCTTACCCTTTCAAGTGGTACCTGATAGGGATGGAACCTAGCTTCCACCCCGCTATCCCGGAAGCCCGGAAGTCAGAGTCAGTTTCCATCCTTCTGCTCCTGTGAGTGGGCTAGAGTTGTGGATGCAGAGAGGACTCCGAGGCTGTGCCGTCTCAGCCTCTGAGCAGGATCCCGTGCCGCTGTGATGTCCCTTCAACTCCCATCTGCTCAGTCATGGGCTGGTTAATAGGCCAGCTGAGGGTGACAGTCACTGGGTTTGGTTGATCCCAAACTTGCTATCAGCACCGCCAAGACATTTCTGGAAATGCAGATTCTTGAGTCCAACTCTGGAGCTGACTCAGGAGTCAGATCGTGGGCGGTGGTGAGGGATGCCTGATGATCTAGCATCTGCTATGTTGCCAGCTCTTGAAACAATGTTTCCCTGCTGGGCTTCTGGAGAGCTGTGCCCAATCTGTTTTATATCGGGAACCCATGTTCTGCTCTATCTACAAACTCGCATTTTAGAATGGGAAAGTGCAGTGAAACGGTAGTTCTAGTCATGTGCTTGGGGAGTGCAGCAGCTGCAATTCCTAAGGACTGTCTTTCGGTCTCCACTTAGTCTCTGACACTAGAAAGACACGCCAAGAGGCAAATGTTGATAAAACCCCATGTATTGTTCAAGTTTCATTATTTTGCCGAGAGAACGAAATGGAAATAAAATGTGTTGAAACTACTTATATATTAATAAATATACCTTTCTCCATTGTCAAAAGGCCCACTGTAAATAGCTATTACTGCCAGCATTGCAAATAAAAGACACAAACACACCGACCTGATCACAGTTTTTACTATGAAAAAACTATATTACACTCAGGCCAACTTTAAGCACAGTGTGACACATGTGAGAGATATTTGGGGGCGTTAGGAGTGAGGGAGAAGGTGCCAATCATAGCGCCAAAGCCAGCATGTTAAAAATCCCTTTGTGTGAATAATTTCGTATTCTCTGGGGGCATGAAATACAGACTGGTTTCCAGTTTTGACAAAGACTCTGGTTCATTTGTAGAATGGCAAGATGACTGATTTTGAAAATACCCCAGTTCCTTGTAGTTGAAGGTGAAAGAACGACCTCTTGAAGAGAGCCACAGATCAGTCTCTGACTTGTATCATTTGGAGGAGTGTACGTGTGTGCAGTGTGGGATGCCTTGCACCGACTCTCCGTGCCAAAGCAGTAAGTGTGCATTTCTACGCACAGAATGAAACTACGTAGAAGTTCTTCAGCCAGGTAGTCTCCTAAGGCAGGCTGTTTGGAGCAATAAACTTGATGAATGATGATCTTCACAATGGATGGAATTTCCTTTTATGAATCTGCATTGAAAATGGAAAATCTGGAATTTTTTAAATCCATGGAAATTGGCTTGTTTTTCAGCGTGGGCTTTGGGCCATTGGACTTTGAGGGTTTAAAACATTCATTTCCTCTGGTGTCAAATATAAGAAAATTCTAGACAGTGATGTAAACATGGGTATATGAAGGGAAGGAGTCTGAACTCTTCACGCCAGAAGGAGATCTTAGGGCTGAGCTAACGGTGGAGTCACACAGAACCTAGAAGGAAGAAAAACACTGGGAGATTAATGAAACTGGAAACTTATCTGACTTTGGGTTCAGATTTCCACATCTAAACCTGCCAGCTATCAAAGCCGCTCATTGTGGAAGGAAAGGGAAATCTCTGGGTGCTTTCTCAGCAAAAACAAGAAGAGCAGCCACGACACCCTTCCTTGATCATTGCAAAAATGCAGCTGGATTGCTTTAATATTTTGATTTTGCAGGCAGAAGGGAATGAAGTATTCACATATTTTATAATAAAAATAGTATAATCAGTGTAATATATGCTTTGTGTCTTGCATTTGTAATGCCAACAGCAAATATTTATACAACAGGCAGTTTAACAACGGAGAAAATATATTTATTAATATGTAAATGGTTTCAAAATATTCATTGGCTTGGAAATGGTTCTATTTTTTTTTATTTATTCTTCTCTCATATAATCTATCCTGACCATAACCTCCCCTCCATCTCCTCCTCCTAGTTCCCCGTATCTCCCCTCTCTCCCAGATCTACTGCTCCTTCATTTCCCAGACATGGCATAGCCAGGTACAAGATGAGGTACAGCTTTCACAACAAGGCAGACGAGGCAATGCAGTAGGAGGAAACGACTCTGAGGGCAGACAAAAGAATTAGAGACACCCTTCTCCCACTGTTAGGAGTCCCACAAAAAAAAAACAAGTTAAACACCCACAGCGTGTATGCAGAGGACTTAGTGAGGACCCCTGCAGGCTGGCTGATGGCCACTTCAGTCTCTGTCAGCCCCAAGGAGCCTTGCTTAGCTGATTCAGAGGGCCATGTATATATCCTTATACTAGCATAAACAGAGGGCCATGCTCTCCTGATGTCCTCAAACCCTCTGACTCCTGTGATCCTTCCTCCCCCTCTTCCACTGGGCCCCCCAAGCTCTGCCTAATGTTTGGCTGCCTGCTTCTGCTTCCATCAGTTGATGGATGAGGCCCTCTCTGATGAAGACGGGCTAGGTACCACTCTATGAATATAGCAGAATATCATTAGAAATCATTACATTGACGATTTTTGTTTTTTTGTTTGTTTGTGTGTTTTTAGTCAGTGGTGTTTGGTTGTATCCTAGGTCTCTGTGCTATCCCATCTCTGGTTCTTGGTCACCCAGGCAGTGACAGGCATGGGCCTCATGTACCAAGTTAGACCACTCATTGGTTGACCACTATGCTCATCATTACTCCAGTATATCTTGCGGATGGGACAAATTGTAGGTCAAAGGTTTTGTGGCTGGGTTGGTGTCCCAGTCCCATCACTGGAAGCCTTGCCTGTCTACAGAAGATGGCCAGTTCAGGCTCCATATCCTCCATACCAGGAGTCCTTGCTAGGGTCACCCTCACAGGTTCCAGGAAGTTTCCACTGCACTAGGTTTCCACATAGCCCCCTAAATGTCCCTGTATTCCAGTCATCTCCCCGTCCTCTCTCCCTCTGTCTCCCTACATCCACCAGATTCCTCCTGTTCCCATGCCCACCCATACCCAGTCCACCCATAAAATCTCTTCTAGTTCACCATCCCAGGGAGATCCATGTATCCCTTCGTGAGTTCTCCTTGTTGCTTAGCATCTCTGGGCCTGTGAATTGTAGTGTGATTATCCGTTACTTAACAGCTAATACACACCTATAAGTGGGTGCATATCATATTTGCCTCACTGGGTCTGGGTTGCCTCGCTCAGGATGATTTTTTTTCTAGTTCCATCCATTTGCCTATAAACCGTTCTTGATTTGAGAGTTAATAGCAAACTTTGGCAACCTAATAAATTCCATGAATGTTTTATTCATAAAATGGATATATGTTTTAGTATTTCACATCTGGTTCAGGAAGTCCTGCTGGGGAATACTAGTTTGAGATGTGTTACATTTGTTCATACTGTGGAATATTTGTTTAATGATGCAAAGATGTGTTGCATTCTTTTATGTTACATTGTTTAACTTTGTAAAACTCTGTTACTTTGCATGTCCAAAACACCTGTGCTGAATGGCCAATAGCCAGGCAGGAGAGATAAATAGGTGAGGCTGGCCTGCAGAGAGAATAAATAGGAGGAGAAATGTAGGGAAGAGGAGGATGCTAGGGACCAGCTACACAACCACACAGCCAGAGTAAGAAGGAAAGATATATATATATATATATTATAAGGAAAGGTAAAAAGCCCAGGGGCAATATGTAGTTGAAGAAAAATGGGATAATTTAAGTTAGAAAAACTGGCTAGAAACGAGCCAAGCTAAGGCCGGGCATTCGTAAGTAAGAATAAGTGTTTATTTGGGAGCTGGGTGGTGGGCCCCAAGGAGTCAAAAAAACCAACTACAAAGTCCTTACTTAGGGTTGCCTTTGCAAATAGTTAGCAAGTAAGAAACCTTAGATGTCACAGCAAAATATAATTAAATCTTTAATATTCTCTAGCCAGGAAGTAGAATTGTTCTTTACTAAATAATGATCAAAGAAATGCTTCCAAATATACACAGGAAGAGACTACTTGTTCTCACAAGGTCCTATTCCTCTTCTTTTTTTAAGATTTGTTTTTAATTATGTGTATGTATGCATATGTGTGAGTCTGTGTGGGAGTATGTGCACATGAATGCTGGTGTCAGATCCAGTGGGGTGGGAGGGGCAAGAAGCTGTGAGCAGCCCCATGTGGGTGCTGGGAGCTCAGTCGGGGTCCTTTGTTAGAGCAGCACATGATGCTAACTTCAACGTCGTCTCTCTAGTGCTCCTTCTACTTTTAAGTGCACAACATTCATTTGAATTTAAGGTGAAAAGTGCTTTGAAAAGGAAGGTCTGAAGTTGCATCTGAACAACACAGGACCCATAACTGTAGGTCCTCAGTAGTGGACACCAAAGGCTGGTGGACCTGAAAGCTGGGGGCAGGGAGGGACTGAACTACAGATGTTTGGGGCCAAGCTTCTAGACTGTCTGACTTTATAAGCCTAGTGTGATTCAGCAACCTGTTTATCCTTATCCAGTGTTTATGGCCATTCTGTTTTGTTTTTTAAGATAAGGTCTCTCTCTATAACTCTGACTGTCCTAGAACTCACTATGTCAACTAGGCTGGCCTTGAACTCACAGAGATCTGCCTACTTCTGTGAGGATTAAAGGTGTACACCACTACACCCAGCTTATTCCTGGCCATTCTTATCATTACTTTTCAACTAATATTGATAGGAAGCTGTTGAGTGCTCTCTCTCTCTCTCTCTCTCTCTCTCTCTCTCTCTCTCTCTCTCTCCCTCCCTCCCTCCTTCCCTCCCTCCCCTCTGTAGACCAGGCTGGTCTCAAACTCACAGAAATCCACCTGCCTCTGCCTCCTGAGTGCTGGAACTAAAGGTGTGCGCCAAAGCTGCCTGATGATGTTGAGGTCTTTACTCATGTTTTACTTCTATATTATTTTCAGTCATTTTATTTGCTTATAGCAGTCTATCACTTTCTCATGATATTGTTTGTTTCTTATTGTAGGGTTAGAATTTAGGGCCTCTCACATACCAGGCAACTTCTTTGCTGTTTGGTTAAAACTTTAGCCTTCTCTATTTCTTCTTATTATATTGTGTCTAAACCTTAGTAAAAGAATAATTATTCCCAGTTCATCATTTCTTTTTTAATAAAATCTTTATTTATAATTCTGTATTAGATTTATTCATTGTATTGTATGTGTTTGTGCTTTGCCTACATGTGTGTCTATGCTGGTACTGTGTTCATGCCTGATGCCCCAGGAGGTCGGAAGAGGGCATTGGATCCTCTGAAACTGGAGTTCCATGTGGACATTTGTGAACCAGTACAAGGGTACTGGGAATCAAACCAAGGTCTGGAACAACAGCCAGGGCTCTTAACCACGAGGCCATCTCTCCCTCATGCTCTGTTTCTATTAAGAAAATTCTTCTTCTGCGATACTTCACACCCTCCTCCTCTGATTTTACCTTACCTGTTCTGTGCTTATTATAAACGACAGTGAGCGCGTTCTTGCCCCCTGGGTGGTGTTTCCTTACTTTAAAGTGCAGATGAATGGATCAGTCACATTTCCCTTTCTTTAAACACGACAAAAGGTAAGCGAAGTTTTGTTTTCACTTCAGTGCTCGCTTACTTGTCTTCCTCCTGCTGTCTGTTACTAATTTATGTGTCTTAGCTCAGAGACTATTGAACAAAGAAGCCAGGTAAGGCACAGTCAAGATGCCCAGACACAAGACTCCAGCTATGCTATCGACCTTTAGGATTTTTTTCCCAGCAGCCTTCATTCTTTTGTTATCAGAGACAAAGAGAAAGAAAGATTAGGATCTCTAGAAAGATCTGACGTTGTCTTCTCAGAAACCAGATCACTGTTCAGGAAAAAAAAAAAAAGAGAGATTGACTTGTCTACAATTATAATACAAACTTGCTTAGTATTTGCACAAAGCAGAGCCTCTATATGTAACAGACTAGAAGCTGTCTGACAAAACATCTTTCATGATTGTGAATACCTGCTAAATATCAGCTAGTGTTTTCATATCTGCTGTCATGGGCAAACGTTGGAGGAGATATAGAACGAGGAGATATAGGAAGGAAAGATGAATATGAAATGTGTTGGCATGCACTCATTCTATTTTCTGTAGTTCTAGCTGGGCTGGGACTCTGAGTGAGCTGCCGAGTCAGCCGGAGCAGAGTTCAAATGCGATCTAAGACCTGGAAAGTTACACAATTATGTCTCAGCAGATGTTTTCTTCTTCCTTTTTACTCGCTAATGAAGACAGCAACAGCAAAGCAGCATAGGCTGCCTTTGACGATGCAGTGAAGCATCCTAGTAAAGGGTTTAGTGGTTTTCTTTGATGCATAGCATTTTAGATAGCACCAACTACTGAACACAGAAAGTTTGTTAGTTCCTAGAAAATCTGCTAAGAAAAGGCTACTAGGTAAGTGTGAATTACCAAATTTACAATTACCTTTACCATTTTTAATTTTTTAAAGAAGAGGGGGAGATGTGATTATATCTCACAAAGTAATTTTAAAAGACAAAAGAATTATAATCAAGATTTTTTGTGTGTGTGACAGGGTCTTAATATGTAGCCCTAGCTGTCCTGGAACTAGACTGGCCTTGAACTCACAGATATCAACTAGCCTCTGCTTTTCAAACTGTAGGATTAAAAGAATGCACCACCATGCCCAGAAAAATGTTATTTATAATTTATAGAATTCCCAATAAAACCCATCAGATAATTCTACCTTTTTTAAGAAAAAATTCTTTTTTAAAATTCCCACCCTTCCCTTTTATTAATCAAATTGAAAAAACTCCACTTTATTATTCGGTAACTATAACTGGAATTTAACTTCTGCCAAAAGTGCGCAACTTTTAGTGGAAAATACATAGCCTGTAAAACTGCTACTTGCCAAGTGATCTTGGAAAGTCATTCAAACTTTCCGAGCACCATTTGTTTCTTTAAAGCAGAACTAAAACCTCACGTTATCAAGTTTGTTGTAAAGACTGATACCCAGAATTCAGAATAAGCACATGCAGGCAGTGCAGACAGTACATAGACTTGTGAGGAGACGGCCTTCCAATATCATTAGCTATTGGACAAACACTGAAATTCTGGAGCATTTTTACAATAACCAAGACAAAAAGCAATCCTCAATGCCAAGCACTGGTAAAGGGATAGAGTAGCCTGTATGGAACACAGAAAGTTTTTTTTTTAATGATGTTAAACATATCCTTCATATGGCCCAGACCTCCCTTTCATAAACGTTTCCCAGGTAAACTGAAAAGTTATGTCTGCAAGAAGAACCTGCATGCGAATGTGTAAGTTCTGCTGATCCGACATACCACGAAAGACTCCTAGCATCCTTTCGTGTGCAAACACATGCCCCACGTGGATCTGTCTCATGGAAAAATGGAGTCATCTAAGGAATAAAGAGGAAGAGGTGTGCTTACCATGACTTGGGAGAAGCTCAAAGTTGATGATACACCTTGAGAAGAAACATAACCTCAGTATTGTACGCCGTACGATTCCATTTATGAGAAGCTCTCGAAAAGGCAACCCCACAGTGGTGGGGTGGGAGTTGGTGGTGGCTGGGGATAAAGCTGCTGGGGTTGGGAGAGTATAAGTTAGAAAGGAAGAGCAGATAGCTTTCTTTCTAGGGTGTGCAGTTGTTCCGTACCTCGTAGGTATTGTCTTCTTTCCTTAAAAAACAAAAAACAAAAACACAAGCCAGGTGTGGCGACTCATGCTTTTAATCCTAGCTCTTCGGAGACAGAGGCAGCTAGTCCTAGAATTTGCTACACAGAGAAACTCTATCTCAATGCCCCCCCCAAAAGATTTCACTCCAAGTTAAGGCAGCATTGATGACAAAGGCATAATCAAAGGCTATACTCATGACCAGACATGGTTTTCTTATCTTCCAAAAATTAGATAAGATGAAGAAAGACTACACAGCCCTGAGGAAAAAAGCTCTTATCTGTAGGACAGTACCTTCTGTCCGTGATAATTAGAAGTTAGGCCAGGGAACTCCAGGCCTCTGGTCAAATCCTGTATGCCACCTGTTTTGTGATAACTTATCAACTTTCCTTTTTTTTTTTTCTGAACATCAAATGCTAGACAAACATCAAAACAAATATTTCATGATGCCTACCACAAACTATGTCATTCAAAATTTGACATCCGTATATGGACCTCTGGGGACACACGGTTGAGCACATTCAGTTCTGTGTCGTCGGCTGCCTTTGCGGTCTTATGACAGAGTAGATGTGACAACCTGGAGGACCCGCAAGGCCTGACATCTTTGCTATCGTGCCCTTTGTGGAAAAAAAAATTCACCAATGTCTGTGTTATAATTCTCTTACAATATCCTGTTGCTTTTATTTAAAAGCAGAACCTGAGTGGATGATGTTTGCCTATGCTTTGGCTCAACGGCTAACTTGAAAAAGCGTGGGGCTGGATAGATGGCTCAGAGGTTAGGAGCACAGGTCCCCCCCACACGCAGCGAGGGGTTTTAACCTCAGAGCCACCCAAGAGCATTTGCTGCTCATGAAGAGTACTTGTGCTCCGTACTCATCATCCACCCGGCAGCTCATAACCAAGACATCCAATCTCACTGTTCTGGCTACCTCAGATACACATATTACACATATGTATGGGCAATATATACATATATATATTATATACATAAAAGAAAAATTTAAACACTTAAAAAAAACTACTGTACTGGCTATTTTTATGTCAACTTGACACAAGCTGGAGTCTCGTGAGAGGAGGGAGCCTCTCTTGAGGAAACGCTTCCATAAGATGGGACTGTAGGCAAGTCTGCCTGGCATTCCTTAATTAGCTTTTGATGTGGGAGGGACCAGGACTTTGTGAATGTTGCCACCTCTGGGCTGGTGGTCCTGGACTCTATAAGGAAGCCGACTGAGCAAACCCATAGAGAGCAAGTCACTGAGCAGCACCCCTCCATGGCCTTTGCATCAGCCCCTGCCTCCAGGTTCCCGCCCTGTTTGAGTTCCTGCTCTGATTTCCCTCTCTGATGAACTGTTACCTGGAAGTGTAAGCCAAATAAATGCCTTCATCCCTAAGTTGCTTTTGGACATGGTGTTTCACTGCAGCAATAGAAACAATAAGATAATTGCATTTATTTGTTTAGTGTGCGTTTAGGTCATAATACTTGTGGCAGATGTTTCTCTGCTCCTGTCATGTGGGACTCTGGTCATCAGGCCAGGCAGCAGGAACCTTTTAACCCACTGAGCCATTCCACCAGCCACTACATGAGTAACTTTCAACCCTCCCTTTCCCACCCCAACCCCCACCCCCGCTTTTTTAGGAAAACAATTTTTCTTGTACAAACAAGGTTCAATTTAAAAACGTTTACACTACTTTGGTTTTTTTGTCCTCTCTTCCCCACTACATACCTGCCTGCCAGTTCAAGGCCTGGTTCTGATCATTAATCAAGGGAAGGTATTTTTGAAGACATCCGCTCAATGACATCCAAATATGGGGACGCCCCCATTTGTGCCATCTCTGGGCTGCTGGGGGAATCTGTGTATTAGGGGTTAATTGCAGCAGTCTATTTCTGTGTGGCGGGTTGTGGAGCCAAAAGTTATCAGGGGTAAACATTGAAGAATCTGATTTACTTGTTCAGAAGTGCACCATAAAATCCTCAGCTAAATCACATTTTATGACTGCGGTCTCCATGTTTTTAAATATAGCCCTTTGCTTACTTCATAGTTGTAAAGGCTGACTTCCGTTCTGCTGTGTGGCAGTGAGGAATTTATAACGTCTGTTAAGTGAACAATATTTACAAAGTGCTATCAAACAAGTTAAAGTAATATTTCACTGGGTCTTTACAACAGTGGAGACGGCTAGAGAAAATACTCTCACTACTTACGACTTCACTCTATGACATTATAGCTCTATGAACTGCAAATCTTAAAGCATTTTATCACTGGTCTGCCTCCATTTACCTCCCTGCTTACAAGTGTTTACTAAGGCCATTTTAGGCATCATCTTTGAAAGGAAGAAAATGAGGTCTTAAAATTTGTTTTTTTTTTAAGTGTATCTTAAATGATTATATTCCTTGTGGAGGGATATTTACTTGCCAATCACATGTGACACATTGAATTACGCTGTGATGTGTGTCCACAATGAAAAAAGACTATGGAATAATAAGTCAAACAATAACATGTTCACTCATGGTAGTTCATTCAGGCTAATGGATAGAAAGTAGATTACAAATTATAAAAATATCATTTATGATTTATAGCTTCCCAGACATGTTTATATATGTATTATCTCCACTGATTTAAAAAGCACAACAAAAGAAATACAATGTGAAGCTAGGTGTGGTGGTGAACACTTTTAATGCCAGTGCTACAAAGACAGAGGCAGAGTGATTTCAGTGAGTTTGAGACTAACCTGTTCTATATGTGATTTTCAGGAGAGTCAGAGGCACACAGTGAGATTTTGAAACAAACAAACATGGTTGGAGAGATGGCTTAGTGGTTAAGAGCACAAGCTGTTATTCCAGAGAATACAGTTTGGTTCCCAGCTTATAACCATATGTAACTCCAGTTCCAGGGGATCTGATGGCTTCTTCTAGTCTCCTCATACACCAGGATGAATGTTGCATACTTACATACATGCAAGCAAAACACTGTTCACATAAAAGAAACATAGATAAATCTTTAAAGCACAATATGAAATATACAAGGCTCATCTAAACCTTTTCAGCAAAGGACAGACATGTAGTGCTTTTTTCAGAAGGAAAATTTCCTCAGTAAAGGTTTATGAGTGGTGGATGGAGGGTTAGATTTCTGTCTTCTAATCTCCAATCCAGAGATTGCCCTGCTATACTGTTCTGGCTATCTGTTTCTTATTTAAAAGACTCTGCTATCTAGGAATGGTAACTTTCTTTTTAACCAAGGAATTGATCTCTGTAGGAATTAGGAGTGTAATTCTTTGTCTGAGAGTTGCTATTCCTTGAGACATTGTCTTTCTAGATTACTTGATATCAGTTGAATAAAATCTTTCATCTATCTACCTATCTCTGTCTTTCTGTGTCTATCATCCATCCATCCATCCATCCATCCATCCATCCATCCATCCATCCATCTATCTATCTATCTATCTATCTATCTATCTATCTATCTATCATCTTCTTGTCAGAATTTGTGAGGTGAAAATATCCAATGGAAGCCTATTCCCCTACCATGGACTTACAAGTTCCCCATGCAGGGCTTCTCTGTGTTGCCTGGTTAGGACTGTTTCAGTGCGGATATTTTCTCAGCAGCTCTACACTTCAGGCAGTGTGAACACCACTGAAGCCTTGACACCAGTGGCAGATGGGTTTTCACAACTGTCATGCAGCCTGTAGAATATACTGAGGTGGCAAATTCTAATTCCTTACCCAATCATGTTTAAATAGTAAATGAGCTATCTCAGACTTATTAGTGTCTATTTTGGTTGAGTTGTCAACCACCTTCTCTCTTACCATGAGGACAGACTTCTGACCTCTCTATACTCCTGAGAACCTATGGATATGAATGCTTATGAGTGGAATCGCTGTGTTGGAAGTTGTAGAAACTTCCATCTACAATTCCTAGCCGTTATGAGCCCTCTACTGGGATGATTGCATAGTAAGAAGAACATGATGTGGTTTACACATCATTACTCATGTCTAGGCCACCAAGTAGCCCGCCAAAGTCCTTCATTTCTTTTATAGGGCATTTTATTTTGAGATAGGGTCTTACTATGTATCCCTGGCTGGCCTGAAACTCACAATGTAAATCAGCACTTTAGCTACAGAAATTCCCCTGCCCCTGCTCCTGGAGCTCTGGGATCAAAGGCATGTACCACCACACCTGGCCTTCTCCTACAGGCTTTTTAAGAGCTTGATTTCTAGCTTTTCCCTTGATTATTTGAGCTTGCATCTCTCTGCTGACCACTGTCTACTCTCTCATGCCTTGTGCTTTTCTTATTAGAGCCCTTAGCTAATTAGTCAAAGGTACTTAAAGTCTCAGCCTGATGATTTCCAACATCTTTGACGTTTCTGAATCTGGTTAGGATGCTCTCCAACTTTTTGGACTGGTTTGTGTGTTTATTTTTAATTTCTTTTCAGGACTGCTTGCTTTTTTTTTTTAAGGGTCCCTAGGGATTCCTTACTTTTTTGAGTGGGATTTTCGGTTCTTTTTACAGCAATCCCTGTTAGGACACAGGAGCCCTATTGAGGCAAGGTGTGAGAAGAAGTCTTAAGTCTCTGATTCTGGCACTTTTAACAAGTACGAATTGTTTGTTTCCCTCCTCCCAGGAGACCATGTTCTACTGTTCCTTCAAAGGAATACAGTGTTAGGCAGACAGAGCTGGAACCAGTTACATTCCCTTTCTGCTGGAAGTTCACAGGCAGGCAACACTCTGGAGGTATGGGGAGCACCCTGTACCACGCCCCCACTCTCGAAGTTTGTAAAGCTCCAGGCCCGCAGGTTAAAGTGTGCCCTCCATACTAGCATCAGCTGAATGAGTCTGCTTCCAGCAAAGAGTGAGGCCTGTCTCTAGTTTCAGGGGCAGAGGTTTGCTTTGTGATTTCAAACCTTTGGTGGATTTAGGAAGGGATGTTAGTGCACAGTGGATTCAGCTTTTCTTGCAAAGGTAGAAGTGATGGTTTCTGAGTTTCAGTAATGCACCAGAAGCCAAAAGTTTAATTTACATTTTACAAGGTTGTAAGACACAATGATAGAAAAGCATAGGTGGGTGAGGAAATCAAACAGGAGGATATACACTTGAAAAATTATTTTAATTCTTTATGTGTGGGGGTGGTTGTGCACCATGTGCGTACCTGATGCCTAAGGAGGCCAGGGTAGGGTGTTAGAGCCCCTGAAACTGGAGTTACAGGTGGTTTCGAACCTCCATGTAGGTGCTGGGAATTGAATGAGGGTCCTTTGGGAGAGCAGCCAGTTCTTTTTACTGCTGAGCTGTCTCTCCAGTCCCCAGGAGGATATTTTTATAATATAGATGTGAGATATGTGTGATGTGGGAAATGTAAAAGAAATGTATGTCTTTTCTATCCAGGGTTTAAATAAGGCAAACTTCATTAAAAAGAAAATTGTAACGAAGCCACTTGGCAGAATTTCAAGATCCCCCAGCGTCAGCACTTCTTGAAAGAAGTGAGTGTCCCAGGTGGCACTCCATGCTTAATACTGTATTTCTTATGAACTATGTAGGGAGGGGGGGAAGCCCTGAGTGAGTGACTTCCTGAG